CACCCCCCCCCCTTTTCATAAAATACTATTAGTGGTATGTAAATACGCTGTTTAATATAAACACGGTCTGTTTATTCCCCTGTACAATATGCACAGTTTGAGGTAGAAGTTTCTCAGCCTGACTGCTATTGTCTGGCCGAAAGAGATAAGCACAATAACTCACTGCCTGCTGATGCAGAGGGAAAAAGCACAAGAGTGTGGGTTGGGTTTTTTTTCCCTTTCGAAATATACCTGTGCTCCTCATTACTCCTTTTTTTCCATCACTACTCTGCGGAAGAGGGGAGCACAGCTACTCCGAGCTTAAAACTCATCTTGCCTGTGGGTCCGTACTCTCTGCCTGGAGCACCTGCAGCACTGACCCTGTGCCTCCCCAAAAACCACCCGGTGCTGTGCGTGAGGGGACGAAACCCGGGGGGTCCGACAGCCGCAGGTGAGGCGGCGGACAGCTGGGACCCCGGCTGCAGCCGAACTCGGCGGCCAAACACCAGCACCTCCACGCTCGGGTTCAACCACCAGCACAGTCCTGGGACAACTCACCCGAGCAAAGGGCGCTGCTGCAGCCCCTTCCAAAAGTGCTCCTCCTAAATATAAGCTGGCTATCTTTGGGACGGGCTGTTTATTTTCTTTGTTCTCCGGTCAGTGGGTTTCCCGTTTGCCGTAGTTTTGAATGAGGTATGTCGTACGTGAATTCACCTGCTTTTATTCCTAAGTAAACACCCGCTCTCTCCCTGCTAAGACAGGGATCAGGTTTGCTTGGCGTTAGCCTTACCGCCAGGCAGCTGCCGGGAACTTCTCTGCTCCTGTGTGTCTCCCTGCCTGCCTTTCCCCCTGCCCCAGGTCCAACGCGGCCCACCACGCCCCCCCTCCTTATACCTTGGACTCCGAATCGGATGTTTTGCTATTTCTTTCCTCCAGGCTGGACTCGCTGCCGCCCTGCGTGCCCCCGTTGCAGTCGGACCAGGTCCCTCCCAGGCTGCGCTCAGGGGAGCCCACGGTGCTGATGAAGCCCCCGGGCAGCCGGGCCAGCTCCCCGCCACTGGCGTGCCGCCGCCCGTCCGCTTTCCCGGGGCTGCGGCAGTAGATGATGGGGTTGAAAGCGGAGTTGGCGTAGCCCAGCCAGTTGAAGAAAACGAAGAGCCAGTCCGGCACCAGGTCCCTGTTGAAGACGTTGACGATGTTCACCAGGAAGAAAGGGAGCCAGCAGAGGGTGAACACCCCCATAATGATGCCCAAAGTCTTGAGGGCTTTCTGCTCCTTCATGGCCATGATGTGGGAAGTCTTCCGCTTGCTGGCTCGGCCGTTGCCGAGGATGGGCTGGTGGTGAGGGGGTGGGGGGGGCTGCGGCTGGTCGTGAACCGGCCCTCACACCTATCGATCTTCCTGATCTGCTCCTTGGCCTCTCTATACACCCGGAGGTACACAAAGATCATGATGAGGAGGGGGATGTAGAAAGAAATGATGGACGAGGCAATGGCGTAAGCCCTGTTGGTGACGAAGTCGCAGCAGCCTGGGTCCTGGTAGCACTCCAGCGCCTGGGGGTCCTCGTCCCGCCACCAATGCATCATGATGGGCAAGAAGGAGACCAGGGCAGAGATGGCCCAGACGGTGCAGATGATGCCCTTGGCCCGACCCTTGGTCATGAGGCTCTGGTAGCGGAAAGGCGAGGTGATGGCCAGGTAGCGGTCAATGGCGATGACGCACAAGGTCTCGATGCTGGCCGTCACGCAGAGCACGTCCAGGGAGGTCCAGCACTCGCAGAGGAAGGATCCCCAGACCCAGGTGCCCCGCACCACCAGCGTGGCCCCGAAGGGCACCACCAGCAGCCCCATCACCAGGTCCGCGCAGGCCAGCGAGGTGATGAAGAGGTTGGTGAGGGTCTGCAGCCGCTGCGTGCGCCCGATGGCCGCGATCACCAGCACGTTGCCGGCCACGATAAGCAGCACCACCAGGGCCATCAGCAGGCTCATGCCCACAGCCCACTGCTGGGAGAGCGGCTCGGCGGGCAGCTGCCTGCTCCCGGG